GATACTGAACGAATACAAACAACAATAGAAAGAAAAAAATATATCCTTTTAACCTTTTGCAATTTTAGAGGATAGGTATGCCTGAACGTATCGTTTTTGAAAGTTGATTGTTTTCTGTGGTCGAAGAGTTTCACAAAGGATCACTCACTCGGTTACTAATAATGAATGACGATACAGCTCTGAATCGTGTCAGCAATCTCAGGCAAAGTTTTTCTTGTTCGACTATTCTAACTATGTATGCTCAAAAGTGAAATAAGTCATTTTGAAATAAATACAAAATAAAACAAAATAACCCGTAAATAAAATAGAACATATGTATGGAAATGTAGTGATATCTCTCACGTATCAAATGACATACAAATTCATATATAATAAAGCAAGAGGAAAGAAAAAAATTGAGAAAAGAACTCATTTTTGTTTGTGGGAGACGACAACGACGTTGTTTCCATCTGTAAATAAGCATAATCTTGATAATCAACATTATTGTCGATGAATTCATCGTTCAATCAAGTTATAAGAATGATTGTATTATATCTGAATCACAGAAGCTGTTTGATGACCATGAAAAAGATGTCTCTTAAATTATATCGGCACAAACAAGCATATAGATAAATGCTGAAGTACTTACAGCACAATGCTCATAGATTTTTTCGCTATTCTTGTATTATAATTAATTAAATGTAAAATGTTAGTACTATGAAAAAAAAGTACCAATCATCAGTAGCAATAGATAGACCGATGGAAATTCAAAACTTCATTATCGTTCATTTTATTTCTGTCATATGATTCTCCTTTCAGCGAAGGGCTTAGTGAAGTTTGCTTGACGTTACTTGTAATCTTGAGAATCTTTTTAATAGCGTTTGAGGCTTTGTAAACCTTCTGATTGAAAATAAAACATATCTGAACTTTATCTGTGTTTATAGAGTACTTCACAACACTTCCCTTCATAGAAGAAAGAGGAATGGTGTTCAAAATATATGAAGTGAAGACTAAAATTAAAAACCGGTCAATATTCTTCTATTATTTAATATCATTAATGCCCTGTGCATATGAAAAAGAATATCTTATTGTCATATCATTTGAAACTGTAATAAACAAGAACACAAAAATAATGTGCATCACAACGATGAATCATCTATTGATCAAAATAAAACTCTTCTTTTGCATCAAATGTTGTTGTGCGAAGGATTATCGGAATTCTTTTTTTTTGAAATATACTGTATTTCCTTCAAAATTCCGAATTTTTTCCATACCATATGCTCTAGAAACATAACATTTTTGATTAGATTAATTGGAAGAATTGGGTCTTAGCTGATATTTGAAAAATGTCTGTTCAAAAATGTTCCCGACTTGTTGTTCTCGTTAATAATTGTTTACGCCCAATTGTCTTTGATAAAAATGTGTTTGAGCAACGATTCCTCGTATGAAAATTTGTTCTACTCTTAGCTTTTGTTTTTTAAATATATTAGCAGTGAAACATGCAGCCAGGATAGGGTCATCTATTAACTTTCATCTACTTCGAAACTATTTACTAAAGAATTATATGATCAGTTTAGCAATAACCAAACGACGATACAAGAATAATCATTGAGATATTCACTATTTACTGTGGAAGAAAAATACAATCAAAGTTAATTGATTATAATAAAATAAATAAGGTGCTGGAAATACAAAGTTTAAGCTTAATTTTTTTTTCCTTTTTTTAATATATGGTTAGATAGAGTGTGATGGGTTCATCAAGAATATACATGCTTTTACTATTTTGAAATGAATTTTTAGGGGAAATTTTCAGATTTTTACAATGACCTACTCTTTATGAAAAAAAGGTCAACATTTTTTTTTTGTTTCTTTCAAATTACAAAACTGTTTGTTTCAGATTCAGCGTGAAATAGTGAATATAGAAAAGCCATTTATAAATGACTATTCTATATTTAGTATTTCACACTGGATCTGAAACAGTTTTGAAATTTAAAAGAAACAAAAAAAAAAGATTGACCTACTTTTCGTAAAGAGTAGGTCATTGTAAACATTTGAAAACTTTCTCCAAAAACTTCATTTCAGAAGTAAAATCATGTACATTTTTGATCAGGTTCTCATGTTCTATCAAATCATATATGAGAAAATAGGAAAAAGTTCTGCTTTAATTTTACATTTTCTACGTCTAATTTAGAGCATCACCTATTGAAAGAAAAACAAATATACTGTTCGCTAAAAACGAATTAAAAGAAATTTTCTAGACGAAATCAACCTCATCAATGCATTACTTTGATAAATGTAAAAAAATAGATTTCTGAAGAAGCGACGAAACGCAGCCGTCTTATCATTGTTATAATCCGTGTGGACACACAAGATCATACATTGTTTTTGTCATATGCCTTTGCCTTTCCTCTTTTTTTTATTCTCTGTGTCTATATCAACATACGTATTTTATTTTCGGAGTAGATTATATGATTCATTTATTATTTTATGTACGTGCGTCTGCGTGTATTCTGAAGCAAAAAATAAAGAAAATGTGAATCATCTACAACAACTGACCAACCCTGACATAAAAAAAAGAGAAACACATACATACTTTAATTCGTCCATTATAAATATTGGATTTTGATGAACACATACAATACATTCAAGTTAACTGACTCATCTGTTCTTGGTCTCTAACGTTCACCTGAACGTCAAAAGTCAGCAACATTTACACGGAAATCAGGAATAAAATTATCATCAATTTTATCGTCATTCTTACAAGAAGAATAATCTTCATCTGTTCCAACTAATCGACATACAATTTCACAATTAATTCTAATCATATCACAAAACTGATAATTCTTTAGAACTAGAAGAAATTCAACGAAAACACTGGCATTTGGCAAATAAATTTTTAGCAAAATACTAATTTTACATGGAATGATATTAAAAATTAATTACCTAATATTTTACAATGATCATCATTACTAAGAAAACCATTATGGTTCACAAATTACATGAATTGAATACTTTCAGTATTACACTTAATTATTGTTATAAATGCCAACTTAGATAATTATTCTATAAAATATTTAAAATGAATAAAAACAACATCAATTGATTACAATAGTGCAAGATCATCCGATCCAAATAAGACTCATTTATCGAATTTTGTCTTATCATGAACTATATCAAATTGATTAATTAATAGGGTTCGTTAAGGATGCAATCAAATTTTCCGGTGAAAAAGATAATTTTATTACATGAATATATGAAGCACATTAATGGCGTAAATAACATCAAGCACGATTCACATGTTGATCTATATATATGAATGAAAGAAAGAAAAATCATTCACATCAAATTTACAACGTTAGTTAACATTAAGAAAATTAAAGCAATATCAACAAAAAGTTTGTCAATCTGGTATTCAAAATTATGCTACAATGATAAAATTAATGCGACAAGCTAATTCACACATGAATGAATCTACAAAAGCCCACTATCTTATGAATGAGTCACCTCCATCTTTATCTATTGCAACCCAAAGAAATTATCCAAACACTGCACAATAATTTTTAAAACAAGTTAAAATTGCTGATAATGATGATTTAGTAACAAGTACTTCTTTCTTATATATAACAACGACAAATTCAACGTCAGCCAATGATTTTAAAGGTTATTTTCGAGATTACAATGATGATTATCATTAGTACAAAAAAATCATTATTCATATAATGATACTGATTCACAACTTTATTAGAATAGAATTTGTAAATCACCTTCCTATCATTTATATGAACGAAATCAAGCTCGTCACTCATTGCGTCAGGTACATAATGTTGAATCATCAACAAATTTGATACCATCATTGCTTAATGATAATACATATCGAAATGATAATTGTAAACTACAACAACTGTTTCAGCGTTGTTTTAAATGTCGTTCTTGAAATGATATAGCTCGTCATTGTTACCATTTCGAAAAGTGAAGTCAGTCATTGATGGTACTGACTCTACTTATTCATCTCAACATCTATTTAACCTATCTATCATTTTTTTTACCACATATACTAACAACAAACAAATGTGATTCATGATTGATACTGGAGCACAACATTCATTTATTAATGAAAAATGTTTAAAACTGAATGATCCATCAAATTTTCAAATGTGCATCATCAGAAACTTTTATAACCGATCGATTACCTTTGCTTATAGCTATAGAAACTTTCCATTTGAATATTTATGTAGGTGAAATTATAAGAACTATTTTAGCATTTGTAACAAAAAATTAACGTACAAATCTTACATTAGGTATAGATTATCTCTTGAAATATGATTTTGAAATTTAACCAAAGAGAAAATTCATTTTATTTAATTTTAATGGCCACAAGATCATGATACCTATGAATACAGAAATAGCTTCTATTAATTTTCCTGTAAAATTATCAAGTTCTACGAAGGTAACACTAGATTAACAATTAAATACTATAACCACAGCATTACAATTTACTATAACTTAATAGGAAATTATTAATCGATCAGACCATATTAGTGATCAAGTTAAATATAACTCAATTGAATCATTATTGTTTAAATTTCAATCTACTTTTGACGCAAGCAAACAATATACGGTTGCACAAACAAAAATGGCTCATGCTATTGAAACATGTACTACGATTGATTGTTAATAAATTACTCAATCCCAGTTTTGCGTGAGTCTCAATAATCTGATGCAACCTTCATATTCTTTTTAGAGAAAAAAATTATAGTTGGGCATTAGTTATTAATTATAAAAAATTAAATTCAATAACAATCACAGATAATTATCCTATCCTGAATATATAAATTACCCTTCAAACATTAGGTGCAGCTTTTCATTACTTTTCCAAACTTGATTTAAAGTCCAGTTTTTGGCAATTACCCATTGATGAAAAAGATCGTTTTAAAACAGCTTTTGTCACTCCGTTTAGCTTATATGAATGGAATGTTCTTTCTCAAGATCTTCGTAATGCTTCTCCAAGGTTTTAACGCATCATGAATAATTTATTATCATCATGTACTCAATTTTTCTTGGTTTCCTTAGATGTTATTGTTATTTTTTGTCGTACTTATGATGAACATTTAATTCATCTTGAGAAAGTTTTACATGTTTTACAATTACGTTATTTGATAGCCACTCCAACAAAATGTGAAATTGCTGAACAAACAATTGAATATTTAGGACATGAAATAACTTCAACAACATTTACTCTATTACCAGATAAAATGAAATCTATATTTTTATCATCAGAACCTACAACATTAGCACAAACGAGCTGCTTCATAGGTACATTATCATAGTACAGAAAATGTATTTCTTAATTCTCAAGCGTTGCAGCATCTATTCACGCCTTAACTAATCTTTCTAAATTACCTTGGCTTAAATTTAAATGGAAACCTGAACAATCAAAATCTTTTCATGATTTAAAACATTTATTGACATCATCTTCATTTTTGTCAAATTTTTCTAATGATACACAACCTGTATTATTATCTATTGATGCATCTAAGGTGGTATTAGATGGTGTTCTTAATCAAGAAGTGAATAATGTTAAGAGAATATTGTATTAACATTTCAAATTATTATCTTCCGCTTTCTTTACTTGATAAAAATATCATCACTTTTACTGATAAATATTCTCTTTGTCACATTATAGATAAGAAAAATAACAAAGAAACGAGTTGAAAAAAATATTCTTGTTGCTTCAAGAATTTAATATTCAACAAACTATATAGGTCAAAGGAAGATATAGTTGTTTTGCGTAATTACTTGTTGCGACATCCTATCTTATATGATGGTCAGTTGCTTGGTTCTGAAAATGAGTAGGGATTTAAAGAAGATAAACCTTCCTCTTCTATTCAATTACTTGGTGCAACTGTTAAACGATAAAAGTCTAAAACAGTAGCAACTCATATTACATCTTCTTCAGTTGTTTCTAAAACTATTAATGATTTAAAGCAAAGTCCAAATACTTCATTTGATTTTAAAGATCGTCTTTCATATAAATTACAATATAATTATCGTAACAAATTAGAACGAAAATTAATTTATACTCCATCTTCGATAATAAACTCATTGCTTGTTTCTTATCATGATAAACCTTTATTGGTGATCATTTTGCAGTTAAAAGAGCATTAGATAAAATTTAACAACAGTTTTGTTGCCCAAATATGAAGAAATCTGTCATTGATCATATAAAACCTTGTGTTGTTTGTCAAACGTATAATACTAGTCGACAACAGCGTTTAGATTTTCTTCATCCAGTTGCACTTCCTGATGCTTCCAATTAGTTAATTGGAATGAACTGCTGTGGTCCATTTCCAAAAACACCACAAACTAATATATTTGCTTTATGTCTCACCGACTATTTTACCAAACTTGTAACTGCTACGCCATTACAAATGTTTTCTACTCAAGTGGTAACTGAAGCTACTTCAAAAGAGTATGTATATCGTTATGGTGTGCCTACAGCAGTTATATCTGATCAAGGTACTAGCTTCAAGAATCAGTTGATGTTTTCACTTTCACAATTACTTGGTTATCATCACATTCTTTGCACTTCACATCATCCTCAATCTAATGGACAAGTAGAACGTTTTAATAGTACATTCGTCACTCAAATTGCTAAATCAACTCATCATGAATTTAATAATTGACACGAATACTTATATCCGATTATATTTGCATATAATACTGGCATTCATTCAACAACGAATATTATTCTATTTGAACTTGCATTCCATTGACCAGTTAATCTTCCAACTAATGATCGACCAACAGCATTCAGATTTTCTCCGTATCGTGATTATTTTCAACAACTAGTCTGTAATTTATAATATTATCGTGCAGCAGTCAAACAAATATTTTACAACAACAAAAACCTTCAAAACCTAAGTATGATCGTCATCGCAAAAAATCCACAACATGATTTAAGTACAACAGTTTTAACTCGAATTTTTACCAGCAGATCAAAATTTTATTACTTAACATGAAACTTGAATGATTCTTCAGGTATTATTATTTATATTTGATAATTTTTGCTACTAAATGGTTTTTGATTTCATTTATATAAATAATCTACTTGGTGAAACAAGTGTTGATGATCTTTTTTTGTTGGATATTAAACCATTCACTTTATCTATCCAACTTATATTTATTAGAGAAGCATTTACTTTTCTTTTTTGTATATGGCTATGTAACTTCTATTTCATCGTACTGCATTACACAATTTACTTCTTAGTCATATCTACTAAACTTGTCTTCTCAGATTTATATATATTTAACAATTTGAGTACTTCTATGAATTTCTCACAACAGCATGTTGTACAAAAAACTTTTTTCTTCTTTCCTTTTTTGCTCTGTAATTATATTCGTTCTTTGTCTTTATCTTTACTGTGTGTTAACAATCATTTCTTTTGTAATTTCTTTCTCCACATTCCATAGAAACAAACAATAGATGAAACATCGTGTTTCTGTTTTTTTTTTACAACAAGGGAGAGTGTTGTGATCCATGATAACATACAAGGTCAGGCATATAAGCTTCTCATATACCTTTATCTTTTCTTTTCTTTTTTCGTTCTTATCTTCTGTATCTATATAAATATATTTATTTTCATAAGAGAGTATTGTTTATAATTTTGTTGATATGTATATTCTGAACTAAAAAGTAAACAAAAGCAGATATATCTTTAACTGAAGAGATCATTTATTATCATACTTGATTTAACTTACTGATTTTATTGCATTGATTATTTCAGTAAAAAGTCTTTTATCGCTTACTCCAAATAATTTTCTGATGAAATATTCTTAAATTTCGAACTTTAATAATTCTCATTCAATATTATTCAGTGAATTTAACCTATTTTCTAAATTATTACGAATAGAAGTTAAAAATCTAAATAATACTGTTAATTTGAATCGTTTTGTCGAATGTATATTGTATCGTCTGCATTTCATCGATTAAATGTATCAAGTATCTCATAACGTATATTATAGTCGTATTGAGCTGTGCAGGATAATGTATACATCTCATGTTGAACATCGTATACTTGAAGTTTTATTTGATATTAATCATTCAATTGTTATAATTGGAGAATTTTCCTACTAATTTTCTTTAAATACATTCAATACAGATAATCTTATTATATTTATTGATCAAATATTTGTGCAACCATCTAATATAAATCGTAGTCGTCTTGTTTATCAATTAATTCACTAATCGAACTAAAAATTTTCATATTAATCCCGTTAATGACATTATTGCATATATTTCATATAAATTTTACAATCTATATTTTTAAATAACAAAATAATTATTCATTTAAAATTCATATAAAACCAATCGAACAAATTATTACTGTTTTACTTAACGATCAACGATTATGAAAACAAAATTAACGTCAAAATTTTCTTTATTTACTAATAATTTTATCAAAATCAGTTTCTGATGATTTTATAACAAAATGATCAGAGTAACTCCTATTTCATACGCCTTGACAAAAAATATTTATTCATTTTTCAGTCGTGTAAATGAAATTAATGAGAATCAAAAATAATTAACTAAAACCAAAGTTTTGTGCTCCTTACAAATATTTGATCAGAACTTGATGTTTGCTAATATCTGTGACAACGTAATAGTTATTTTTTTGTGGTTTAATCTTATCGTACATTATTCAAAACGAAACATTATTAGAATAAGAATGAATCGAAGTGTCAACAAAGAATTGATGATTTTTACATAAGGAGTTCTTATCTCTATTTGAATTTGATTTAAATTACTTGTTTCTTCTATAATTAGAATCAAAGCATCGCTCATGTCTACAAAGAAATATCTGTAAAAATTGTGGTAAAATTTTCATAAATGTTTGTGCACCACTGCCGATAATTTCAATTGATGTTTAAGAGTATCGATAGTCTTCTCACAATAATGTTTTACAATAAAAGGAGACGCTCGGTAAAACCTATCATGACTTGCCACATATTTGTCTAAGATCATATCGATTTACTGGAAAATCGGCCATCAGGTTTTCCACAATAATAAATTTCATGTAGTATTTCATTGTTCAAATTCAGGACAATAAAATACCACATGAAGTTTGTTATGGTTCAAATTCAGAAACAATTTTAGATAGCACTGAAAATTCGACAGTATTGTTCAAACTCTGTTTTTGAAATTCCAATTGTTAATTTTCTGTTTCAACATCATATCAATCTTTATTAATTGTCTGATGAATGAATAACAACTGTATCAAAAATAAATGAAAAGAGATAAACGAGTAGTAAAATATAAATCAGCCGACATGTTCATATTAGACTCATTCTCCGAATAGTAATACTCATTGTTTCTATGATCAGCATGAACAATTTTCATCGTTTATTGTACTAAGGAAATTAACTCAATATTTTAAACTTTAATTCCGTTGATAATTAAAAATAAGATTGGTGTGTGTGATTTTTCTTGTCGAATAGAGCTAATTTTAAAAAAAGCTCAAAATCGAAACAATCCCGTTTCTGTTTATTATTCTAACTTATCCAACTTTAATCTCTATTTATTCGAAGCGAAAAAAACTCTCTTACATCATGTTTTCCTAACATTTATCGAATAATTGTAATCTCGATTATCATCCTACCAATTAATATCAAATTAAAGACGTTGTACTTAATATTTCAATTAGTTTATAATACACACCACATTACTCTGAAAAACCCAAACAATCATTTTATTAGAGAATATTGACTAAAATTTCTTGATATTATGTGTTGTAGCCATACTTTAAATGTTTGATAATTTGAAATAATTTGCAGCGACATCTGAACTTTTGTTTTTTCTTATTGGTCACAAAATGTCATTGAAAACATGACATACAAACATGAACACAATCCTCTTTTTAATAACCAGCCGTCTGTTTTAACAGTTCTATCTCTTCATTATTATTCCCTAAATGGCAACTCAAAGCGATTTAACAGGCATTTCGACTACTACCGAAGCAGCCTCAGGTAATAATAAGTATGCATCTGCTGGTGAGTTTATTCATTTAAAACAAAAAATAAAAAAGAAGGATTCTTTATGTCTCTTTAGATGTAGACCTTGATCAACGAACACAAGAACAACAAAATGAAATCGAGAAAGAAGTAAATCTGTATGTTGATGGTTTCTATTAAATTGAAGTCTAACTCTAGATTGCCGATCATCAACCTTTAATAAGTGCTAAAATTGAAACAAGTGAATTAAAAAATGAATATTTATTAGAAGATAAAATTTATCAAGATAAAGTATCGGTAAGTTAAATTATTTTCATAGAAAGAAATAAAATTTCATTTAAAACAAAGGAATTAATTAAAAAATATAAATATATTCGGCGTACACGAGGTGATGGTAATTGTTTCTATCGTGCATTTGGTTTTGGTTATCTTGAACAAAATTTAAATCATAAAAATGAACTTGAACGATTTCGTCAACTAACACATACTTTAAAAAATAAACTTGTTCAATTAGGTTATTTAGATTTTACTGTTGAAGATGTTAGTGATGTGGTATGTTTCATTAGAAAGAAAATATAAAACTAAATTTTAACTTCACTTGATTGTTTCTGTTTCAGGTTCTCGAAGTAATTGATAATGTATGCAAAAGTGCAAATGAAACAAGTTTAATGGAAAGTTTTTGTTCACCAGCACATTCGGATTACTTTGTTGCTTATTTACGGTGAGAGATTTTATTAATAGCCTTAAGGGTCTCTTCTCAGAAAACTCAAATTTCGTCAAAAAATGATTATTTTAGATAAATATGTTACCTAGTGTACGAAGTTTTGAATATCGAAGGCTTTTTTAGGATTTTACGAGGGTGTAGGTGTGAATCTTTTCTCCACCGATAGTCTCAAAGTAGATGCTTTATATAAAGTAAAATCTCATATGATGTCTTTTATGCGTATTCTCGGAAATTTTAATAAGTACCAGCACAGAAGATATTGCACGAACATACACGACAAAAAAAGACATTCTATACTTCTATGCTAGTACTTAATTGAGTTTCCGAGAAAATCCACAAAAGAATGTAATCTTATCAGCCTTTAAAAGAACTCTCAGGTAAGAACGAATTAAAAAAAAGAAATTTGTTTGTTTTGTCTTTATTATGTTGTTGAATGGTGTAACAAATACTAAGGCACTGTTAAGTAGAATAATCTATTACGATGTATCTCGTACGAGGAAAATCTAATGTACATAGACAAATACTTCGATTGGCATGTTATATATTTAAGCTTCATCTCCATCTTAATTAATAAAAGGAAGACTATAAAAGAAAAACTTTTTAAATTATTTTTGTTTTGGTAATTGTCGAATTACAAACCATGTTTTTTCTCAATATACGTCATTCTAGAGAACTGTGTTGTTTTTAACCGATACATATATATAGTTCTTCAGATAAGGGAAAAAATTTTCTAATTAATCGTCAATATGCTGGATAAATCCTGGCTTTTCCAGAAAAAATCATGTCTAGATATCTCAGGTTTTTGAAGTCTCGATGATTTGCAATGGTAAGACGTCCTCTTTCAAATGAAAGCAACTCAAACTCTGCAGCTTGCTCCCTGGAATCTACTGAACAGGAAAGTATAGACGTTTGAATTTTTTTTATTAACGTACTGTCATAAATCAAACATCTATGCAAAGTTTCATTAATCTCTCGTGTATCCTGTTGAATGTAGGTTTTTGAGGAGGAAAATCCTTAAATACAAGTATTACTTTATATCTTTTTCATTTTCGATATGCAGATGTTTTACATCTAGCTTAGTATGTTTATAAACTGCCTTAATATAAAAGTGCTTATTGATACCAAATTCTTTATTTTTATCATTAAATCTTAATTAAATGGCATAGATAGTCACTTTTATGTTAAATCTGATTTGTTAGTGAGACATTTAGTTGGCTTCGATACAGAGATCTGTAGAAAGATTACCCTACTCTACAGATCTCTACCAGCTACCATTCATCGGATCACTTGGAGAATGATGTGATGCAGTAGATAAAAGACTAATATGATTATAAAATGATCTGGTATCTTTTGCTTGAATAGAATAATGTTATTCGATTATTTTTATTGTGAAAAATAATTCCAGACACATAAATGTGAGTAAATGCGTAACAGCAGAAACAATAGGAAATTGTTTTACTTTTTTTTCTCTATTGGCGAATATTAAAAAAAAGATATCGTCAGTAAATAATGAGTGTTTATATAGATTTTATTGCTTTACAGAAATTCGAAACTATCAATCAATTAACTATCGTAGCGATCTCGGATGTCATCGTCCGTCAACTTATTGGTAATATGGTCAAGCTTATTTTGCAAAACTTTTAAGGCATAAGATTAGGACGAAATTTTCTAGACAATGTATTTAAATGCATTGCTAGTGTATTAAAATTTGAATTTTATGCTGTTTCAGAGTATACGCTTAGAATTTTTCTATAACTGTTAAGCTATAAATCTTGATAGGACCCAAAAATACTTTCTGCAAAGGCAAAAATCTTATTTGTCAGTGACAATTCTATGCCAAATCACTTACGTAAATATTTAGTATTTGATAATGATCTCTACTGTACAAAATAATTCAATGATTAAGAGTTTTGATTAATCTGCTAAAAAATCTCAGAGTTGTGACGGAAGGTCATTTTGTGGTGTAGTGAAGTTATTTCCTACAACAAATATTTTTGAGGCTTCAAGACTCCCTTATAACTCAATAGTCAAGAGTCATAGAAAAGCCCTAAGTAGGTAACTCTTTCAAGTGATAAAACGTTTTCGAGTTCGGACTTTATGCATGAAGTAGACCTTCATTCCTGGTTATAAACATTTTAGGCTTTGGCACGGTGTATACCAACAAATCGAATGACAGTATTTCGACCTGAAATTTAACTCACAGTTAGATCTCATGATGACTAGAATGTCCTGAAAATTTCAGCTAAACAAAATTTTTTCCTTCGTAAGATAGTGAATTGTCAAAAATCACTCATATCCCGCGACAGATGCGAAAATCTCAGATTTCTTAAAATTAGTTATGTTGCGAAGAAAAAATTTTCAGGACATTCTAGCCATCAGATACATACTGTGCCATAACGTTAAATGGCTATAACTCTGGAAGTAATCTCTATTTTATTCGTGGAGTCTGAACTCAAAAATGATTTTGTGGAACTCACGTATATTTTCGACGAAAATAGTGAGTGTAAGTTGTAAATTGAAGTTTTGCGGCTTCCTCTAGCACTTTGATGGATGTTGTATAAGAAGCAACTATTGGATATGTTAGGTGCCGCCATGATAATGACGACCAATGACAAGGATGAAAGAAAATCATAATTGAATGTGAATGAAGATCCGACGGTATATTTAATAAGCAGAAAGCGACAGAGCAAGATAAGGTGGAAAACACAAGACAGTAGACAATATGAGAGATGAAAGAGAATAGAATTGAATGAAGATGGGCCTGAGTGAAGAGAGAAATATGAATAAAATGAAGGTAACTAATGAAAAACGAAAACATATCAACATCAAAATATAAAGCCCGAGCACAATTAGAATAGAAGGGAAATTAGAGCGAAACCAATATACATGCCTAACAAACATCAAAACAAGATAAGTGACAGTTGTGTCGTCACATCTCCCTCCTTCCAGAGTTCCTTAGCAAATGGAAAAGGGTGCTGAACGGCATAAATGACATGATTTAGAATATTATGAAGCGTTCATCAAAATTTGAATGGCTAGAATGCGTTTGTGAATGTTTGAGATAGTACACTTAGCGATTTTTGTGCAAATAAAAATGTATAATCAAGATATCAACGATGTCTTACTCTGTTGATTGATTATCTTATAAAACAGCTATAGTCTACGAAAGATTTTTTGCTTTAAATATTTTGCATTAGTATAGTGAGACTAAAGGACATATGTAAGTTCCACGTTTAAGCCCTAAAGGAGCTACATCGGCAAGTTTTTATTACTTGAAATGACTTCCTCGTAAATTTATATTCTGAAAGAGCACAAAGTTCTGATTTTAATACACGAAAAATAGTCTTGATTGATATATTTAAACTTGGACGACTTAAGTCATAATTCATACCATCATATGAAAATATGTTTCGATCATTTCAACTACGAAAATTCGAAAAAAAGAGAAAATATTTTCTCAAAATTTACATATTGACTTTTATTTTATAGGTTATTTACTTCGGCTTATCTTCAAATGAATTCTGCATTCTTTGAAAATTTTATTGAAGACGGAAAAACTGTAAAACAATTTTGTAGTACCGTATGTAAACTTTTTCTCCTGTATTAGATCTAATTTAATTATTTATTTTCTATTAAAGGAAGTTGAACCGATGGCACGTGAATCAGATAATATTCATATAATTGCCTTAGCTAAAGCAGCAGCTGTTCCTTTACGTGTTATATATATGGATCGAAGTGAATATTCTTTATTAACAACACATGATTTTTCAGCTACAGATGACGACAATAAAAATACATTTAAACCAATGATTACAATGCTTTATCGACCTGGTCATTATGATCTACTTTATGAACATTAATTAAAACATTAAAAACTTAGAGACGTCGTCCGGTGATTCATATTAGCGATTAGATCATTTGATTTTTTTTTCTTTCGCATGCGAATGAAAATTCGTATTTTAACGAAAAAAAAAACAACAAAATAAACATTTCTAATTCTCATTTCATACAAATCTAAGATAATTAATATAGACACTTAGGGAATGTCATGTCTCTTACGTTTTAATTTAATTTTCTATTTTATTATTGAATGACTACTGGTTTGTATATTTTTTTTGAATCAACAATTATTTGCTTGAATGCAAAGAACGCAAACGACACACATTACGCAGCTGACAAGCAAATCAGTCGAGTGTGACTATATGTATTTCGAAGTTAGATATAATAAAAATGATACGAGAAAATGCATTCACGTTTTTTTTTCTTCTTCCTAAATCGATATAAGAATAGTAAATGAGAAAAATATATTTAGATAAAGTCACAATCGTCCTCATGCAAACCTAGTCTAACAAATAATCATCGAGAGAGAGAGAGAGAGAGAGAAGAAAACAAATTGTAATTTTTGTACAAAAAGGAACAAGAAATAACGAAATAAGAAAAAAAAAGCGAGGGACACCTTCAACGACGTCAGTTGGGCACGAAGAAAAAAGAGAGAGACGATAGTTTTATTTTTAACAGGTATATCATCGCATCATACTGCATTCATACAAACGACATCATTTTTATTTGCTTTCCATACAAAAGTAATATGGCTGAATTACGTGCAGTGATAACTGCAGCAGTGCTTATAGCACTTATTCTTGCTGCTGTCGGTGAAAATAGCAAACGTTTACATGTTCGAGATGATCATTCAAAGCCAGTGCCTTGCACAAATAATCCGCAAATGAATCCCAATTTACCTCCTTGTCCAGTTGATTCAGCACAATCTACATCACTTGAACGTGCTCATTGGTGTCGTGCTCCCAATGGTACTTTTTTTCCTCTTGGTTATACATATATGCAATCAGTATGTTCAATGTGTCAATGTACAATATCACGTGTTATTCGTTGTTCAACTCTTCAATGTTTGCCAGCATATTGTATCGATGATACAATGCCGTATCGTAAAGAGGGTCAATGTTGTGCACAATGTGGATATGAAGCTCCAGGAAATTCGTGTGCATACAATGGCATATCTTTTCCACATGGTTCGTTCTAAGCTTAAATATATATATGTATAATAAATATATTGCCTTTTTTTGTGTATATAGGTTCCGTCATGAAATCTGTAGAAAATAAAATGCAATGCTGGTGTCAATGGGGTTCTATTGAATGTCGTGATTATGTTGGTTCACTTTTCCAAGCTGTGGATTTTTGGAGTGATAAATCAGCAATTTATATTATTGTTGTCGTATTATGTATTGTTTTAATTTTTGGTATATTGATTTGTTGTAGTTGTACACTTTTATATTATTATTATTATCAACGTTATCAACAATCAATGCAGCAAGAATATAATCAGTATATAAATTCAGCTGGATGGCAACCAATGAGCGAAGAAGATCAAAATGCAGCTGATTTGACTGCAGAGGAAAAACGTGCTGAAGCAGAACAATATCAAGCTTCAAATCCTAATGATTTTGTTCCTCCACCGTATGCTGCATATCATAATTCATTTGTGTCTGCAGATGAGGAAAAACAAAACTAATTATAAATTGATATATTTTACTCAATTTTAAACAAAAAACAATTTGAAAACACTCAATGAACAAATTATTGTTTTCTTTTTCTTTTTCTATCCCATCAAAGCATTCAACAGGCTGTGATAAGGGAACATATTTAACACATATAGTTAGAAATTTCTTTTTCTTTTTCTATATACATATATATTATTGAAAATTGTACTCAGAATAATCAAGTCTTTCTGGCAATTATATATTTTCATATAATAACGTCTATATTTCGCACTTACTAATATTTCAAAATAAACAGTAATAAAAGTCATATTTACTTTTTTTGAAGTGTAATCGAATCTTTTGGATAAGTAAACAAAATCAATTTACCTTTTAATGTGCGGCATCTGTTGCTTTATATTGATGGTCCTTGAAGAGGCAGCTGCTTGACGGCAACATGCATCAATAGTGACATAAAATTCATATTAAAGATTAGTACAATACAATCATGTTTAATCTGAAAAATACCAGTCGATTGCCATTATAGACATCTATGACAAACAAATAAAATTCTCAGTACTTGAAATTTGTAATTAATTTTTGTTTTCTGGTATTTTCGTAATTTATTCATTACGTTGACTAAGGATCTGCTTGAAAGAAAAATACATGTACTTGAAAGCACTTCAAATAAATTAATAGGAAAAAAGCCAATGCAGCGAGATAAAACAAAATCGACGTATGTTCTTCTATTCTAATTAAATTTAAAAAATTCACTGTTATTTATTATAAGTACCGAAATATATCATTCTATTTCAAATAAAGGAATTTCACGTGATAAACCAACAGGTAGACAAAAATCCTTCGATTAGTATTTTTGCGATCATTTCTTATAGTTGGTCTCTTCTCTACTAAATCCTCAACAATAAAACAAATCATAAAATGTGGTCAATGTGAAAAAGATGAAGCTAAAATGGTAAATAAAATTTTTTTAATCAATACAAAAAAAAATAAATAAAACAAATGATAATCAATAACAATTGAAATTTTAAGAAATGTCTCGAATGTGTTGAAAATTATTGTGCTAAATGTTTTACTCATTTTCATCTTCGTGGTGCTTTACAACGTCATCATCGAGTTTTTTTATCTGAAAATCAATTATCAATATCTCAAAAGAAAAAACAATTATTCAAAACTAGTATTAATCTTCCAGAATTATCTTATCGACAATCAAATGATGATCTAAATCGAATATCAACAACGACATTAAATATGTACGAAACAGAAGAGTTATATAATCAAAAAACAAATTTTATATCATTTCAATAATCATTTTTAAATTGTAGAGATACTAATATTCATAAATCAAAACGAACTCGACAAAAACATGACTTAACATCATCAATCACTGGAACAACAGTTGATAAAATAGAATATTTTAATAGATTGCCAAATATTGAATTTAATTCATCAAAAAAATATCAACATGCTGATAAAAATAATCAAAAAATGTTTAGTCAAAGATCAAAAAGATTAAATATAACAAAAAAAACTCAACCGAAAATAGGTGTACTTGTTAATATATATTATTCACTTTCTGATAATATAGATCTAAATGAACCCAGTATTGATATTGAAGTAAGCATTAATTATATTTTTATTATGTCATTTTTTTTATAAATCTTTTAGCCTTTTGATGAGGATTTATCAGTAAGACAAACAGCAAAAAGGTAAAATATTTAACATGAATGAGAAATAGAGTCCTGTGAAGTCAAGTTTTTCTCGACTTCGAAAATTTTTTTTGACAGGAGTATTCAGTGGCTCCAAAAATTGACAAGACAGATATAATTTTAATTGTTTTCCGTAATAGTAACTTGCATAAAGAGTCCAAACAGTGATTTTAGTACAGAAACTTGTTTCCAACAAAGATTTGAAGGAAATAAAATCTTCACAATATACCTAAAAGAAAGTGACTATGTACACTCAGGTAGGTATAGTTGACGTATAAGACTAATATAGTAATATCAGAGTATTATATATTGATTATACCTACCTGAGTGCACATAGCCAATCGGTTAATGAGAATTATTCTCTGACAGTTTTCTTGAAATATACGGAACCATGTTTTACAAGAAAACTTACTGTAATCACATTTAGCAAAATAGTTCAAGATTCACTAATTTTAATTGTTAGCTAAACTTTTGCACATAGAGAAATTTTGTCTTATGAAAGAACATTTTGAATTGTCAAACGTCGTTTGATACTGAGAGACTAAGTAAAGCTAATAAAATTTGCACTTATGACCTGCTAGTGAAAAGTTATGACTGTTCCAATCGACTTTTTAATAACAAGGCATTTCTGAAAATATCGAAGTGCAGAATTTTATCCTGAAATAGTACTCGAAGATAGAGCTAATAATCATTAGATTGTTCTGAAATTTTCAAAGAAAATGAACGTATTGTTCTCGAGATACTCAACTTTCAACTGGATTTCACAATTGTATTCTTCTGTGGTAAGCTGCTCTTTCTTTTCTTTAAAAGTTGCAGAACTTTTTAACGATAAATAATTCTATCCGTAAGCAATATTTTAAGATAAAGTTTTGAATATTTTCAGCAGTGTCTTGCTCTTACCCAACATCCAGTAAATTATCCAAAACTCATCTCCAGAAAGCCATGCGCCTAACTTCTTTTAGGCTTTTCTTCATCTCAAAGAGATTTACTCATAACTATCATATCAAATTGAACGCCGTCCGACAGTTGAAGATGTTCAATCGTTAATATAACAAAGCCTGAAAGTAGATGCTACCGTAGAAGACAACCATATAACATTTTGACCAATGACTTTCCAACTCTTTTTAGTAGACTATCATAGTATTATAAATGAATACTTTTAATATGACTAAGTATCTCTATATCTGTACTTAATTAATCAAATATTTTCTTGTTTTCAGTGCACGAACAATAACTCCTAAAGAGAATTCGAATAATGTTGAACAGACTGAAGAACTAGAACGACCTATTACTCATATATCAACAGTGTCAAATTCACGTTCAACAAGTTCGTCAATAAAGAAAGATTCAATACCATTAAGATCTAATTCTATAGCACTATTTCAACAATCTTTGTATATTAAATTAATAATTCAAAAAAAAAACATATTTCTTATAAAAACATTTCAGGCGTTCTGTATTGGATACAAAATCTAATGATGAGCTTCAAGCAATTGTTAATTCACAATTAATATTATCACGAGCATCGTCATCTACTCCGGAAAAGCTCAATCAATGTATGAATCTAACCAATATGACTCAAATTTGACTATCAGTTTTTCCACCATTTTTTACTATAGAAAGGAATGTATGTAGGCTTCGAGAGAAAGACTTTCTCTACCTAATAGTGTGTGCATTATTAAGTTCGGCTGCGGGCTGTGGAGATGCCGTCAGGTGGCATTACCTGTTGACGTTCTGCCCTGTAGTCAAAACCTTAGAGCTCACGATAGAATTGAGTTTTCCTCCTAGAGGAAAAACGCTGATACCGCCACTGCTTATAGTCGTTTCTTTTATTGTTAAATAAATTTTTTCTCTCTTTCAGCTTCAATGTTATCGAGTGAACATTGTATACCGGAACAACATATACTAAATAATAAAGATGTTCAATCAACTGTCCTCAATGAAACTTCAACTTCTCTGTCTGATTTAGCTCTTGATAATTTATTTAATGAATCAAAAATTAAATTAGCTAGTAGTTTAAACTATCAATCTAGCATTGATTCTCCAATCAAACCTGAAAAAGATCAATTTTCTACTCATGTTTTTTGTACAAATTCTTTAACAACAACATCACGTCGAAGTTCTCCATTCAGTTTTACACATTCAATAAATAAAATAAGTCGAATTAATTCATCATCTTCAATTGATACAAATGATGATGGTTTTTTTACCAATGTTTTACCTCAACAAACTATTTCATCAACTCGAATTCTTCAATGTTCAAAATCAAATGAATGGACATATGTATCAGAAAATCAATCAACTGAATACGATCAAACAATACTAAATTCAGTTTCACTACGTAAATCATCTGTAGAAAGTTTAGTGCGTACATCTTCAAAACATTCGATAAAAATTGATGAAACACATTATCAATCAACAACTGAACTTGATAATAATAGTCGACCAGAATCATCATTATCATCAGCTTCACTTCCTGTTTCAATCACATCATCGAAAACAGATTTTATTAATCGAAAAATTCAATCATTAGCAATATCATTAAGAAAAAATTCTTCAGCGTCACCATTGAAAAGTTCATCTTCATCTTTAAGGACAACGGAAACCTCTTCATCACAATTAGAAACAAGAACGTCAAACATAGTTGAAAGTTCTAAAGTAACATCACCATATAATAATAATAAATCTCTTCAAGAATCAATCAATTCATTAAACGATAAAAGTTTATCCAACGTATATACACAAGAAAGTTCGAATGATTTATTAAAACTGAATTTAATAACAAATCTTACTGAAGATGAAAATATTACTGTAAATGATTTACCGATAAAAGAAAAAACTACTCATCGTCAAACTAGAACTAATGATGAATTATCAAAATTTCGAAAACTTGAATTTTCAATGGGAGACGGTCTTAAATGGCACGACGCTTCGACAGAGTAAGTAAAAAAACAAATTCAATTTCAATAATATTTTTCTGTCATTATAAATTTCAACGGAATTAGCAACTGTAAAAAAAAAAGCATTTACCATTAGATTTAAATAAGCATGAGTATGAATATCAACGACATGATTGTGGATAACATCAAACACTGATTCTGATTCGAGCAGGAAACAATGAAAATCATCAGAAAAACGAGGTGCTGAAAAACATCAGACCTCAACATATCTTCTCAATTTCGATCTTTCTGACGAAAATTGACTTTTGGTCTTGATTAAAACCATCGAAATGGATAATTTATTATTCTTTAAAGCCTACCCACAACCAAAAACTTATTTTTACCGCAGAACAACTGATCTGGCCAAAGTTTCAAGAAATGTGTGTCCAAGTCTTAATAGATCCTAGTAAAAATTTCGGCCTAAAATATTGAACTATTTATAAGGCTTTCATAACATCAAAGATCAAAAAGTAGGTATCTGCGCCGCAAGGATTTCTCGTCGAAATCTAATGATACAGATTTCAGGTTAAGTTTAGAATGCGGCCAAAACTTGTCGCTACAACATAACAAAGCACAACAATTCAAAATATTGTTTATTTACTTCTAATGAAATTCTCTCCCACAAAAATATCAAGATGTCTCTACAGAAAAAAATGTTTTTCTTTTTTCAAAACCCAAGTCGAAAATGAAAATTCCAGTTCTTCTATGTTGTAGAACATAATCCTCTCTCCCATTGAAAACTGTGGAGCAAATAAAATGCCCGAAAATCTTTGACACAAAAACAGGAAAAATTTACTTCGAGAAAAACGCGAAACAAAATTTGGCCCAGAAATTCAAACTTCTTTTTAATAAAATAGTATAGAAAAAAAAACCGTAATAAAAAAAAGTGTCATAATAAATTCGGTAAATCCTATTAGACATTGAGGGTTATCCAATCCCGTCAAAATTGCGATTATTGGCAGGGAAGTGAATCTAAAAAAATTCAAATTTGATTCCAACAATTCTATCATAATAGTAACGGTAGAACTGCAATCGAATGTTAATGAACTATCCTCGGTCGTTTTTAACCGCAAACGTAACAATGACCATAAAGGAACATAAATCATATTCACTGTGATTTTTTTTTGTTTGTTCATTAGAAAGACAAAACCAATTGAATGGTATATTGAAAATATAAAATCGATAGTACTCTTCTTCAATCATAGATCTCATTTTACAACATTCACGATTTATATTAATTCAAGTGATAATTATAGTGTACACTTGAACACAGATTAACATTATATATTCTTATATTTGTTTTCTTTTCAATAGGTTATTAAATTTAATTGAGTGAATAGTTTGATTTTTTTTTGTATTCACTAAAACTCATTTTATTTGTCATATGATATGTAAAAATAACTCAAGCGATTTGTTTAACGAGCTATTATTCACTAACAGTAGAAAAAGAAATAACAAAATAAAAGAATTTCAGTGAATGCAAAAGGTTATTCATAAAATGAATCACAAGAGATTATTTACATAGGTCATTTTCTTCTAATCAATCATCACATATTAAAAAATTTCAATTATTAACACCATCAAAGTCAATGAATACAAGTAAAATATTTCATCACATTTTATCTAAAAAATATCATTCATATTTTCTTTAGAAATTCTTCAACAATTTAATACATGTGATAATAATGATGGTCGATCATCACATATGGATCAAAATGTCAATGATGATGACGAATGTTTGAATCAACTTCATCAAGAACATTGTTCGACATGTTAGTAAAGTGCTGGCTTACCTTTTCGTCGAGAAAATTAGTTTTGAGTATGAAATATACTATTTGATGGAGATTTTATAGAATTCATATGTTTTCGAAGAAAATAATGTGTGTAAATTTAAATCTAGGTTTTTCAGCCATCCCGCTAGGCCATAGCAACGAGAAAAATGTATGTCGATAATAACAGTGTTTAGTTCAGTCTGAAACTTTCTAGAATCTACCAAAGCATTCTATTCATCTAAGATTTCTACTATGGATTCTCACTAGGCTAAATATTTCAGGTTTTGGGATTTAATGCAGCAAAACAATCTTATTGTAGGTATCAATTAGGAGCGTGGAGGGGGGAGAGCATCAATGTTATTGCTCTAGCAGAGTCCAAATAGGATGGATATAGAAAAGTACGAACTGGTTGAATGCGAAGTTTACGCAAAACTCAATAGTATGTGTCAAAAGCTCGTCGAAAGAAAGAATATTGTGCTTAGAAACTTAGTGAACGATTACATCAATGTGTACACCAGGCTAATAAGCATATGCAGAATAAATTCTTTTCTTATCTTGACCGAAAACAATTTTCTTAGTCTTATTCTATCCTGCAATCTCCATAGGCTGATCTAGCGGGTTGAAATGACGAAACGAAGAATAAAATGCTATTGGCTGCCTCCTATAGCATGTATCGTATACATGATCATTAGAAAAGAAAGAAGTTTGTCCTGTATAACGATCTAATAAATTGGTAGAATAGGAATTCTAAATGTAAACATTTTCAAAATGAAAAAAATGTAGAACGTACGTGTCAACTATAAAAATTATTATTATTTTGATGCATTCATTTGTTCTAACCTCTGTGATAATATACCATAAATTTATAACAGTCAAATTTTGTGAGTCCTGCACATTGACCCTCAAGGAATCGTAATGACAAGTTTTGCAATCTAATATTCACCACAAAAAGAAATGTTTGAATACTTCAAAAACAAGATTTTTAGAGGTAACTCGACAAGCTGTATCCAATCATAACAAAGAAAAAAGAATTACAAGCAACTTATTAATTTAAAAAATAAAAAACTCGTTAACTTGCTTGTTTTTAGTGGATATGAAAAGTGCCACTGAAGATGCTATTATGAATGAACATTTATTACAAATTCTTCAAGATGTTCAGCTATCATTCGATGAAAAAACTTTAGTCATAACTCAAACAAAGTCACAGTAAATTTAATAAAAAAATAAAATAAATAAAACTCTATTTGCTTATCTTTTAAGAGAAAATGAAATTGTTGATCAACTATCAATTGATAATGAACTGTTGATATATGACTAATTTAAAATTTTATACATTGTCAATTTTTTTTCTTTTTCTTTTTTCCTTTTTTTTAAATAAATAAATCGATCTCTTCTTTTCTTAAATCGTAGGATGTTGTGTTTTTTTTTGTCGAACTAAAAGTAATTTCGATGATGGTGAATGGAAACCATTTAAATGCTATTTTATTAATTTTTTTCATGCTTCGTCCTGCAAGATAATTACAAAAGCCTACGCATACAATTCTTTTCTTTTCTTTTTTTTTTGCACATATTTCGATGTCGTCTCGTGATGCTACACCAAGTTTATATCATCGAACAGGAACACAAGGTTCATTTTATCAACAATTAGTATTACCCGCTCGAACGAAACGTGGACAATCATTCAATCGAGATTATGTATTTTTCAATATAAGAGAAAAACCATTGGTATATATATTAATCTTTTGTTCTTTTTTCGTTCTTGATTTAGTTGCATAAAAAATTATGGAAATTTTTCCGTTTGGTTCGTTATGCTGTTCGTGTTTGTTTAATTGTGAGAAAATATGCGATCGATTCATTACGTAAGAGTGGAGAACAATTATATAATAATTCCGAAATTCTTTTTGATCTAAGCAAATTTCGACGACCAGTTGAGGTAAAGAAAAAGAACTAAAACTAAAAATTTTATTTGATTCTATGAAATAATAAATATTTAGGAAACAATTGGAAGAAATATTCGAAAAATTTTAAAAACCGATCCCGCAACAAGATCAGAAGAAGATATTCGTATGAGTGTTGTTGGATTGGGTCAGACTGTTGCGTCATTTACAGGTTTGTAAATTTAAAAGAAACGCTAATTGCAAGATTTTTGTCTAATAAAATCCGTATCATAGACATGATGATAAAGTTGAATGCACTAGATTCTCATTGAATCCAATGATTGAGTTGCTATTAATACCGAATGATTTTGTCGATTCAAATCGAAAAAACTCCGTAGAGACTTGTTAAATATATGAATTTCAAAATTGATAAACTTAAATTATGCAATACTGTTGTTGAAAGAACAACAAGAGTTTTAGTTTTTAATGCTACATAACTCGAATCATTTCTTTAGAAGCAATTTAAATACTTCAAAATATTCATTGCTTGACTTTCTTTTTTTTATCACTCAAAGATTGCTACGACCGATTCAAAAACTATTATTAAAAATCTATAATGTTGAATTTTAATCTATAGAATTTCCTCTTCAACGACAATATGCATTAGCACGTGTTGCTATACTAGAAGAATTTGAAAGAGGTCGGGTGATACTTCGTGAAGGACATCGTGCTGAGAAATTCTATTTAATTGTCGATGGTATCAGTAAGTTAAATTAACAAAATAAAATTTTCTTCGATTTTCTCATTTCAAAGCGAATGTATACAAACTACAAAAAAATCTGGTAACAGATACAACCAGCTCAAGACTTGTTGCTGTTCTTAAGAAAGGAAGCTCTTTTGGTGTAAGAACATTTATTTTCCTATAATAATAATCCGAATAATCGTTCTGTTTTTTTTTTCGTTTTTTACACCGTAGGAGGTTGCACTAATCAATGCACATAGAAGAACGGCAACTGTTTGTTGTCAAACCGACGTGTCGATGCTTGCAATCGAGCGAGAAGATTTTATTAAAATATTTATGGCTAATGATAGAGAAACCGAACCAGATTTTATAGCATTTCTACGACAAATACCTGAAGTAAAGAAAAAAGCAAATTTTTTTGTTAATTTTTTTACTGAAATATTTATTTGGATCTTCAAGTTTCGTGGGTTTCCTATCGATAAAATTCCACATGATAGTCCACATATTTGTCAAGTGGTTTATTATCGGTAAAAAATATTCTTACACAAAAAACAATATAATGAAAAGACATTTTATTATAGTGCGGGTACATTAATGAGTAAAGACTCCAATGAAGACGAATGGATTTATGTTATTCGTACAGGTTCTTGCCGAGTTATCAAAGCACTAACACAAGTTACACCAAAATTAATAACAAAAAAAAAGCCTAAACTTATTTATGATAATTTTGGCACAAAACGTGCTTCACAATATAGTATGGAAGCATTGGGCACATTTAATACAGTAAAAACTAAAACAAAAATACACTAATTCTTATTCAAGTTTCAAATTCATATTTTAATATTTTTAAGCCGAAATCATCAATTAAACCAGCTAAATGTTATACCGAAATTGAACAAATTCGCGAAAAAAGTGTTTTTGTGAGTAAAATTTATTTCATGGTTTTTTTTTTAAATTCTTTCAAAGTTACTTTGTATAGTTAATATAAGATGCTTGAAATCATAGATTACTCGAAGTAATTGTTTACTAGATGCATTTAAAAATTACATCTGCTTTAAGCTTGAACAAAAAAATAAAATTTCCATTTTGCTTGTCTACTTATTTTGAAATACTAAAAACAAATGTTATAAACTGAATATACAATTCTTTATATTGATTTATGAATTATCTTTATTCGATAAGGGTTTGGTAAGCGTCGTTTTTGGACAATTGAAAAATGCACTAAGTGTTACATTAATCTCTGATGGCGCTGAATGTATTCGGATACGTAAAAGTTTTTTTATTAAAATGACACCAGAAACTTTATTCGATCGATTACGACGAGAGGTAATTTACGTATAACAATTTAATTAGTTTTTCTTTTTATTTTTGAATGCTTTTTTCTTTTGATAGGTTCGACCTTATGTAACTGATGATGAACTACAGAAAAAACTTCAATGTGAAGTCGATTGGACAGCATATAAACATTTACTTGTGAAAAGAATTTATGAACGAAATGCAAGAAATCGTTTGATAACATTTAATTATTAATCTACTCGAATATCTTAGTTTATAATCGATACAATTATTTATTGCTTCAAGTTTTTGTATTGATATCTGTAATTGAAAATAAAAATCTGTAATATTTTCGAACTGGACAATATTTCGTTAGTCGACAAATACGATTTAATAAAGAATTGAAACTATTTTAGAAGATTATCTGCTGTCTCAATCTGACCATGTGCATAACGTCGTGTTCTACGTTTGTACTAGAATTTATCTATAGATAAAAAAAACTGTTAGCAAATTCCTATGGGATTAATATATAAAACACGATGTAGTTCTCAGATATTCAATAAGAAAGTAATTCATTTATTATAATGAGACGTTATTTATATACGGTCTCTGGCGAAGAAGAGGGCAATATTGCTAAGGTGGCTGTTACGATCTTTGATGAAGGAGATGCATTACTAATGATACCTGCCACATGTATGATGTGTTGTTGCCAAAATGTTTGTAATGAGCCATTTCAAACCTGTCTGTCATGGTCTGTGGGATCGAGTGCGAACTTCTACTTTATACACTTCAACACTTCTTTTAGATTGTATTTCACGAAATTTTTTGTTCTTGAACATGTGCGTTAGTTTTATGACATTTCCTACTGTTTACGTGTCCGACACTGAACTTTAACAGCTCAATGAGCTTAATATTTTAGAAAACTGAATTGTATTATTTATTTGTATGACAGAAATTTTAGACTGATATATGGCAAATACATAGTCTTATGATATTTTGTATCTAACATGTTAATAATTAGCCAATGGATTTAGGAATCATAGATATTAGAGTAATGGAGTGAAAGTGATTGAAATGTGAATATCATTTCCTTCATAATAAAAACCTATGTCTGATACTATCTAGCATAAAATTGTCAAGAATCAAGAACTCTATCATGGCCATTCTTAAGCATTTAACGTACTAAATCATCGACAGATCATAGGCTAATGCAGAGTTCCAGTCAATTGAAAACTTATGACTAATTCTGTAGCTATATTTTTGGAAGTAGATATCTTCAAATCTTCATGAATTGTCGAGTTTTGTACGAACAACAATATAGATTTGACCCATCGAAAAAGAATTTTTTTTATTGAAAAATAGAGTATATCTTCTATTCAATATTGCAGTGGTAGACTGTAGTAAAAGTGTAATCTACCTATTAAAAATTTAATATACGTTATTTTCAATAGAAGAATTTTGAAAAATTCACGAACAAATATCTTTTTGCACTTTACTGTATGTTTCGGTACTTTTATAAGCTATTTATATTGTTTGATTTCATCATTAAAAAATCTATAGAATTTCTTAAGTATTGCATGAAAAGCAATAGATCTTATTAAATAATCAAAAACAAACAATCAATGATTGGATGAATAGGTTTTTTTCTTTCTTGTAAGTATTATTTGCAGAAAACATGTTACTTGAATATGATGTGACATCCGATAGTTAGTGACACATTACGGTTACATCACTCTTTTCAAGTGAATAACATATTAGAAGACATTGGCTTAATTGCTATAATGATAAATCAAAAGACAAAAGGATTGAATATATAAAAAAGTGAGTCAACATGTCTTTTTGCCATTGTAATTCATTATTAACGAGTGTAAAAATTTTTGAAAGATACTAACATGGTAAAGAATTATCAGGTCTCTGTTGCTACCAACTCATTCAATAAATCAAGCAAAATATAATCATTTTGGACAGTCAAAATCTAAGCAGACTCTTTTTTTATTTAGCTTTTTTAAAATGCTACTACTTTCGTTTCATTAACTAGCAAACCGATTACATCGAATTAAAGAAAAAAAAAGTTTGAAAGGTTTTTTCTCTTCTCCTTATCAATTTTTCTATAACATTAATATATTTTACTTAAAAGCAAATCTTCTGTTGCATAGTGTCCTCTATCGAAAGAAATTATTTAGATAAATTTTTGATTGTCAACGAAAACTTTTACTATAATTTTTTCTTTGAAATAAAGAAAACACTTTTGACTAAAACCTAATATATTGATTGGTTAGATAAAGACTCAATTAAGTTTTAATCAATAGGATCATATTTTCTCTTTTCTACTTGATACTCTCAACTATCCAACATTTACTCTCTGGTGTACCTTTTTTTCTCTTTCTCGTTCTCATTAAGTTGTTTTTTTTCTCTTTCTTTCCTTTCTTTCTTTCTTTCTTTTCTCTCATCTAGCTTTCAGTCCTTCTTCCTCTTTGTCCTATTTATTTTGTTTTGACCAAATAAGAAAGCAACTAATTCTTTGCTTTTTTTTTGTCAGGTAATAGGCTATTTTTATCCACATACTCTATCCTATTCTGTCGTATATGATAGCTATTTCTTCGTCATGCATTTTATTTTATTAATAACAAAAAAGAAAATATTGTGTCATTAATGTATAAGGTTACCTCGTTTTCATTTTTTGTTTGATTAAGTGATAAGAAAAATCCAGTGTCATCATTAAGATATGATGAGTAAGAAACGAAAAAACATATTCAATAGAAAGAGACGACTATAAAAAAAAAAGAATAATGAAACGGCTTTATCATTAATTTGATCACGGACGGATATTTCTCTCGTCTCTTGTTATTATATTATCTTCGTTTAGACAAAGCAAGTGAAGATGTTAAGTATATGTGTGCATCTCTTTTCGTATACTTTCTTTTTCTCTTCTCTTTATCTCACTAGAGAAAAAGAAACAACAACAAGACACATTTAGCCATATTCATCTTAAGATACGACATAGACGACGTTGTCGTCGTCTGACGATTGTTTACTGTTTTCTTCAGTAATTGAATTTTCTGTTTTGTTATGTTAACATTCATACATAGAAATCTTCTTTCTTTTGCTTTTTAGTATGTATATGTGTGTGTATGTTTACGCATATTTTTCTCTTTACATTAAGTAAGAGAAAAATGACTAGCGACGTTTGTGCGCACTCACACTTGTTTTAACAGTTCATGTATTTGTTCGATGTGTTGAACTCCTTCTGTGGTTAACGTTTTTTTCTCCTTTTCTCATTCACTCTTTAATTTGATGGACGGGTAAAATAATCACGCACTGCGAGGTCAAAATCGACGGCATAACATCCATTCCGCGAGAGAAGAGGAAAAGAAAAGTGGTGTCATCGATCTTAACAATCTATAGCATAGTTCTTGTAAAATATGATGCCATCATTAATAAAACCTGTTATTTTTTCTAGATCATCATCTCCAATCTACTATTCATATTGTCCATACTTGTTCTGTATCCGACAAAAGAGAACAATTTATTGACGCATTTGTCTTTCACATTTCTTGTAATTACATTTTTGAATATATCAGTGAAATCAAGTCAAATAAACATGATGATGACTATGGATCAATCCTCTGGTAAATGAAAATAATTTAATATGTAATTTTGTTTTATGTTGATTTTTAGGTTTTGATAATACTTTAATGAATTTCAATAATGCAAATAATTCATTTAATCAATCAGCATATTCATTAAATGACCCTGATGTTGACTGGAGTGTATTTGAAAATGCTGGTATGTACAAAAAAAAAAGAAATAAAATTTACAATTCTTGTAAACAATAAATATTTCTTTCTATAGATCGATATTTATTACGTGATGATAGTGCATGGATAACTCGTTTAAGTAAAGATTTTTGGTGGAATCTCGAACGTATATCAGAAATGACAACAACCGATGTTAATCAAACTCAACAAATAAATTCAACAAAACATATTCCTCAACAAGTTTTATCATCATCTATGCAATTAAATGGTGTTTCAACACGTAAAATTGTTGGTCAACGTTCAACAATAGCACGACCAAATAGAAATAACATTCCAATAAAAACAAATTCTTCATCAACATATGATCAAGATTTTGATTATAATCCATTTCAATCAAAAATATCATTTGATAATAATATATGGACAAATTATTCACAACAAGCAATCCCATGGCAATAAGTAAAATAAAGTCAATCGTATCTTATCATAAATATGCACAGTTTTGTTTTCTTTCCTGTGATTGGTTCTTTAAAAAAATCCCTTTGTAATAGTAGTTAGCCATGCATGTTTTGCAATACTAGTGTCTAGAAAATCTTCTTCCGTTTTATACATTTATTTTCCGTCCTTTTGGTTAAGTTTCTCGAACTCCTTTGATGATCAATCAAAAATGATAACATATAATTTGTGCATAAATGTCTGATGTTAGTTTCTTGGTTATGAAGCAATAACAAAACAACAGTGAAATTTAATGATTTAAATGAATAGATCTCATTAGGAAAACAAAAAGCGAACAAACTTTAAATATTCATCTTTAATTTAGTGAGTAAATGAACAAATATAAATCTATCCACTTGTATTCTATCCTTGTGTGCTAGTCCTTTCTTTCTTTGCTTTTTTTTTTATTGACCATCTCCGGTGGTGTTTGCGTTTTCATCCCATTTATCAGCAGAGATTAAAGATTCTTTGTTTTTTCTTTTTGTTTTTTCTTTTGCAGTCAAAACAGTGAATAGATAATAAAGACAAGCTAATGCAAACACTTCATATTTATTGTTTTCTCGCTTTGGTTTGAATGCTCATTTTTTTTTTGTTTAAAATTATAACTCAGATATTCCTTCTTTTTTTTTCTCTCTCTCTCGTCTTGTTCCGGTGTGTGCGTTTGTCTTTTCTTTCTTTATGTTGGGTGCTTGTTTAAACGAGATATCGAGTTGGTCGTAGTGATTATCTTTTCTTTTCTTTTTTTTTCGTTAGTCATGTCTTATTACAGTTATGTATATTCATTCATGCGTGCATATGTAAATATTCTCGATTCTTTTTTTTCTTCGCCTTAATTGAATAATCCTTCCAGAACTTAATGCATTTTTTTGTGCTATGATTTGTCATTGTACTTGATTCTGTTTGTCTTTCCAACCTGAAATGATCAAAATAAAAGAAATATGTATCTATCTCTCATTTGTATGCGATTGTATTTAGTTGAATTTCTTTATTCATTATTGTTTTCATGAGTTCAATTAATAGAAATTTCAATAAATAAATCTAATAGAATAAATTTTTTGCGTTCATCTAATCAAGGAAAGTCTTCAAGTGTGACTTGTCAATCGAGCTGATATGTTACCAATAAGTAAGTCTCCTACGAGACTAGTAGAAGTCTATAAGGGTTTGTTCGAAGTTATTACAGTTTTTTTTTTCGAATTTCTTATAACATGATTGGTTTTGGATATTCAATATCTGAGGAGGAATATATTCTTCTAGACTGAAATTTTCAAGACATTCTCATATACATGTGAGTTACCTATAGACAAAGTTTTAGGTTAAAATTCCCTCATTCGATTTTTTTACCACAACTTAGTCAGAGGTCAAATGATTCAGTGAAAATTGTTATAAGTTGGGAAAGAGAGAGAGTATGAGGACGAACACTGATAATCTTCTAGTAGTCTCATCGGACTTACTTATGGGTAAAATATCAGTTCGATTAACAAGTCACACTTTGAGATCTTCGTTTGTAATATATAATCTTAAAAATTGAAGTTGTCAATGTTTGAATGTCGAAGTATTAATGAGAAAAAGCAGATTGCAGATTAAAGCAAATGAAAAGAACAAAGCTAATATTGATGTCATATTTCAACTATAATAGGAATTTTCAGAAAAAAAACATTAATCATATATTTCATGAAAATATCGTTTCAAGAAAATAATTTAAGATATTTTTTGAAATTTATTATAAATGAAAAAGAATTATACAGTATAATACTGCTTCAAATTCTTTATCGTTCTGCATTTTGTTAAAATTTGATTTGAAATCATGTTAATGTCTACTGTGAAATATTTATCTAACATACAGATAATACATTATAGTGCATCTGACGAATATTGAGAGCGTCTGATTATTAATAGACAATGAATACAAATTATCAAGAATAATAGTGAAATCTGTAGCCATATACAACACAGGAAGACATCAAGTTGTTCTTGTAACAATTTTAGCTTCATATTCTTTTGAATTTCAAAGTTTTAAATTATATCTAATTTTTCTGAATCATTGGAATAAATCAAGAGTATATTCAGCGATCTTTGCATATTGTTGCTATCTTTTTTAAGCACAACATGTATTAAGAAAATTATTTGCAAAATAAAACATGTCATATTTGTACTTCAACTCAGTTACGTCAGAACACATAAGTCATATTAAATTACGATGCTCAACAAGAAGAAAAATCTTAGATTATACTTGTACTTCAATTAAATTCTTTTGGACGGAAGTTTCATTACTAATAGTCGAATATTTGCTTATGCTTTGTCGTCGATGATGACGTGTTGCTAGTTTGTATTGGACTGTTGATGGGATATGCTCATTCTTTGTTAAATCATAAAATAAATCAGGAGTTGATGATGAATGAATGCTGACCAGTTGTTGACGAAGACCAAAATGGAGAAGAAGAAAACGAATCAAAGCAACACGAATAATTGAAAAAATCATCCATATCAGTAATGCACAAATGAAAAGACTTCCAAGAGTAATACCAACAATAGCACTTATAGGAAATGGATTTGATAATCGAATTTTTCTGGTTGAAGTAATTGTTGTGGATACCTTTTTTGTTGTTGTTGTTGAGGTACTTGTTGATGTTGTTGTACTCGACGTTCCGAGAGTTCTACGTGTTGGTATCTGTAAACAGATAGATAGTTTTATATTAGAAATAAATTATATTTTCTATTTCTATCATGTCAAAGTAGTGATAGTATTTTCGAAAAATGGATTAGAACTTCAAGTAAATTTAAGAAAAAAAGCCAAAAATAAATACAGTTTCTATTTATTCCAAATCTTTCTTTCTATTAAATAAGAGTTAATATACAACATATTTCTCTTTTAGAAAAACCGAATGATCTTGAAGAAAATTTTATTGCTATTCACAGTTTATAGCAATGAAATTCGACCATTAGATTTAAAATGAAACTTTTGCGAAAGAAACTATTCTCAAAATAGCTACCCACAAGTTCATAAAAAGATAAGAATAAAATTTCGTAGTTTATTGATTACATCGATCTTCTAAAACATCAATTATACTAATGCTAAATGTAACTTATATTACGTTGCATTTCAATTCATACAAGCCAATAAATAATGCTTTGCAATCTATTTTTCTGTTCAAATAAAATCTACTTTTAAACGGATGACAATAAGTATAACATAAAACTATACTTACTGTTCGTGCTGTCGTTGTTGTTGATACAGATGTTGTTGTTGTTGAACCTAGAAATAATATCCATTTACATTCATATTGTTACTGCATAAATGATATAATTACTTGTGCTTGTTGTTGTCGTCTCATATGGTATGTCAAATGGCCAAAAGTTCGGATCACTTATTGGCATCGCTTCTTTCGAACATGTACTAGCTTCTACGAATACACCAGCATCAAAATAAATATAGAAATATTCACCTGGAGTCCATTCAACTGTTGAATTGATTACAATACGGTCACTTGAATAAAGAACATTGTCAATTGCAGTCACAGCATTTAATACATAAAAATCAAGATCATCTGAAGTTCTTTTGAATCGAATATATGTTTCTGTTGTTGGACGTTGATAAACTGTTGTTCCAGTGAGAATAGTCCATACTGAAGTTGTTTTCAAGACTGTTCCCATTGGATATCGAGTAGCATTCAATCTGTATAATGTTTGAAGACTAGATGTTTGTGAAGACACTGTAAAACGAAGACAAGCTGAATCTCCTTGATTTCCAATCGAATCCACAGCAGAGAAACAAAAGAGATTTTGTCCTACTTGTTGAGCATTTGTTGTAAAATTAGCAAGAAAAGCAAAAATCGTAGGATCAAATGGGTCTTGTTGAACAGGCGTAATTGATAAACCAGTTGGATTAGCACTAATGATACTATCAACAGTGGCATTAATACATTGAACTTTGAAACGAACACGAGTAGTATAAGTGACACCTACTGGAATATAGATACAAATATCTGGTACGAGATCACCTATATAGATTGGTCCATCAAAACAAGGGTCAGGAGAGTCGTAAACATGAAACACGAATTGGATAGGTACTTGTGAAAGATAATCACTTGATGATATATTGATCGGCAGTATAATGAAGTCCTCTACTGTCAAAGCAGCTGCATAGTACCCAGCAATATTTGGTGTAAAGTTTAGATAACATCCATAATTATCAACAATACCACCAGGTACACTATTACTAAGTCCACCACATTGTGTAGAACCTTCAGACCAAAAACAAATATATGGATCAAAATCATTATCAGCCACGTTAATTTTGATAGAGTAACTGATTGAATTTCTTAATCGATAGATCGGTAACATGGTAACAACAGGTGCATTATTATACCATCCAGTATCGACTCTTTTAAATGTTTGAATTTGAACAGCAACACTCCATCCCAAACTGGTTCCTGTAACAAGATCAAACCAAGCCGCATTACTAAATGCAGCTATAAAATTTTCATTTGTTGGAATATTTAATGTGAAACGACCTTCACCCATTGCATATTGTTCACCAATATTATAACCGGTACAAGGAACTAGAACGTCTCCAAGTGTTGTTAAACCTGTTGGACAATTACTGACGCAAACGATATCATAACCATTACTGCCTAAAATAGGTTGTCCATTCGCAATAGTTGCATCTGTACAGAGTGGAGTATAAAACGTGTATCGCCATGCATAACGTTGCAGAATTTCAACAAGTACGGTGGAAGATGATTCCTCAACTATACGCCATGATATCATAGAACCACGAAAATGAGTTCCTTGTATAACATTAGACATATAAAGCACAATAAAGAATATTATATAGGTATGCTTTTTATGCATACTTTTTTTACAAAATATGAATAATAAAAAATGTAAGTTGAGCACTAAACAACCACGACTGATTGCATGCATGTATTCCAACTTAAAAAAAAATGGTGCTTTATTTAATAAGAGCATATGAAAAAATTGTCAAGAGAAATATGTAGGATTTCGACATGAATTTCTATTGTTTTTACAACAGAATAATATATATTATTTTCAATACAACTCTTTTTCTTGAATACGCATATTTACTTATGATTTTCTTTTCAGAATATTTAAAAAATTTGCTGACGAATCAATAACATTATATACCAAAAAATCCATTCTTTGTGTTCTACTGTATTATGTTTGTTTAAAGTAAAACCATTCATTTCAGTCTATATGCAAATATAAAAAATTGAACTAAACAACAATAGTATCCCACACTCAAAATATAGTTTATACCAAACAATGTCTACAAAACATGCAATACGTGGTTCGCACATTCCAAGAAAATCTAATACAGTGAGTAATTTCTACAGAATACGTGGACATGACTTATTTTTTATGAAAAGTGCAATTTTTTTCATAGAAATATACTATTAGCTACTGCTGCTACTCAAAAAAAGAATAACTCATAGAAATTGCGAAGTCTGAAAAGAAATTTTATGGACAATACTTGAAGGGAATCCTTGATCTAAAAGTTTGTTTATACTATATTGAGTTGAAAAAGTAACAAATGATGCATCATTTGATGTAGGTTTTTTTGCACTGATTCCAAATGTGTCATCAATTTTGTTCAAAAACAAAATTTGGAAGCTGGAGAATCATAAAAAAATTCTGAAAACCTATCATTTTTCCGAAAATTTCTAACACATTTTAGAAGTATTTACGCATTTTTACTCATACTGAGTATACGTGCAAGAAAGAAAAAAGAATTCTGTTAAAATTTTGCCTCGATTTGGAGCTGTGATAAAGAATTGGCACTCATTACACTTAACATGTCTTTTTGCAACATCTCTATAACTGAGAACGAATGCTTCCTTTGTTCAATAGAGAAAATTGTAAAAAACGCTTTTGTCATAGAACAAGTTTGGAGAATATTGTACACTATTCAAATCGCGAAAAATATCACTTTCATTTTTTCATCAAATATCCATGAGGTAAATCAGCAATATATTAATTAATATTGAATAAAAAAAATATTTTTTTGTAACATATTTCTACTGAAATTCTGTCGTTTGAATTTGCTTTTAAGTATAGATATCAACTGATGAACAATGATTTACTTTTGTGTAATTTGATTTCATGATTAGTGATTAATAATCTCAAGATGTCGAACATTTCTCTACTGTCTTTGCAAAATAAAATAAAGTCTCTAACAATTTAAAGGTAAACATAAAGAAAAGAAAAAGAAAAGTTCTACATATGAAATATAAATCAATAAGATTTGTTTACGGGTCAATGAAACATCTGTATATTCTCATTTGTCCATGCAGTACATTAGTATGTAATGCAGTAAAAAGATGATGGTTACAGTTCATTCTTTTGTATCATAACTTCCTTTAGATACGATGGCAGGACGTAATATTCTATTGAAAGAGTAGTTTAGTACTTTGAATAAATTTAGTCGTTAATATTCTTTTGAGATATGAAACAATTGAATAATTTTAGACGGTATCTTATTAACATACGAATGCTATATGCGAACGAACTTTTAGTAACATTATAAAGATAATTGCGTGTATTTAATGAGCTATAATGCAAAGATATTAAGTGCTATTTGATCTGAATCCTTATTCATCAACATTAAATCAAGACTTTTTGTTTAGCTCTATTATCACTATGTGACATTATCTATTTGACATAAAATTGATATTGATCAATGAAATTTCAATAAAAGTATTTGTAATAAATAGGAAAACCATTTGAGACGCTGAAAATCTTTTCGACTAGGAAGATGATATTTAATTAGAACAAGAAGCATAAAATACTCTAATTTGATTTGAACACACGTTGATTCTTACAAGAGTTATGAATTTTAGTGTTTTCGAAGAAGTAAAAGCCTATTGAACTGAAATTTTTACTTTGTCGATTCTAAATAATCATCTTAAACATCTGAAAGTACGATCCGAAGATGATAAGAATTTAATGTGAAAGCAAATTTTCAACATTTTCTTTGAAATCTTGTAATTTTTCATGTTTCACTACTTCATGATACAAGATCTATTTGAGCAGAACTTTTTGAATATTCCCAAGTTAAGAAACAGTATTAATTGTAGTAAGTAAAACTTATTCCATGTATTTTCATTGATCTAGAAAAAGTAACACTCGTAAAAGTTACTTTAATCACTTTTGTCTTACATGGATACATGTATATCAAGGAATAAAAACATAAAGTTAAAAGCTCATACAAATGTAGAATACATCCACATACGGCAAGTGCTATGATTACAAGAAAAAACGAAAACATCTACATGAAAATACAAAATCTTGCTATAATAGCTATATCGAATCAACGTAAACCAATCATATAAAGATATATCGAAGTAGATTTGTTTAAAATTGATATAAATATCGACCATTCTTTGAAAAAGTTGAAGATCAACATTAATAATAATCACACTTAAGCCTTCCATAAGCATATCATAAGCGTGAAGATCAGATAGGAAAATTGGTTATGAATAACAGATTGTAAACAGATGATAATGTTTCTCTGCACAATTATAAATATGCTTTTCATCTAGAAGAATCCGTTCGTAAAATCTGACCTACAACCACTTTTGCTATTTGTTGAATTGCATATCAAGAATATGAATTTTAAAAATCGTTTTTCAAGAAATCTTCAGCCATTTACAACCTTTTATTAACTCATCAATACTTTAGCGGTTTGACGATCTAGATCCAACATCGGAAAGAAATAGCGACTTACGTAAAGTTAATAAAGGAATAAGACATTTATAATCCTAGTATTTAACTTGCAACGAAATTACTTTATCGGGTGTATTCATGTAAGAATAACTTGATTCATCTGTAGAAGATTTGTTCTAATATTTTAGCACATGTGATTGTTTTTCTCTCTTGAGATATGAACAGTCAGAACTATCAATCTTGTCGCTGATATTTGTTATTGATGGAATCGTAAAACTGACAGTCGTTGCATCTATCCGAGTGTACACAGACAATCGTTATTTTTCTTGTTTCAATGAGATACAATTCGAGTTGAATGAAACTCAAACTCAACTTCTAACTAGTCTAAATTTCTCCTCATAGAATCTTCATTGAAATAAGATAATCATACTTTCACTTCAGTAAATAATCCTTAAACTGAATTTCATTCTCATGTACTATTTTACGTTTTCGAATAAAAAAAAAACGATAATTATACAATACTAAAAAATTTAAGATTTCTGCGTAGATGCTATGAAAAACTGCTTAAGGTTGATATTTTTCTTGATTAAATACCTTGCTCATGTTCATATGTTAAGAGTCAACTATCTACCACAACAAAATCATGCAATAAAATGATGTTTATTTTTTGTAAAGTCCATCCTATGAAAAAAACATAGTATGGTTCACAAACATGATTAACTACAGTAACGATGATCGAGTCATTGACTTCGCTTCTCAAACGATTAATTGCTAATATAGTGATGATGCTGAGTTAATTGTTAGATTTTGTAATTTCTCATTGTTTGAGAGTTTGAATTTGAACGACAACATGCATGTCAAAGTTTTTCTATAAGAAAATCAAACACAAGTCGTCAAACTGAGTGTCATCAATAATTTTGAAATTTAATTTAATTTTGATTTTATATCGACTTTCATCGATTGTATATTTTAAAATCAATGTTCTAACTCATACGTAAAATGTAAATACTTGCAAAATTAGTTAAACTATTAGAGCAATTCATAACAAATGAAAAAATAGCCTAAAAAAAAGATTGACCATTTGGAATGTATGTTTCATTATAATATGATGTATATCTATCATATTGCTTGGCATGATGTAAAAGAATTTTGACGAACAGTTGTAACGATGAATCATTGATCACATCCTACTATTATCATAGAACCATAGAAATTGATAACCGTACTGATATTCTGTGAACATTAAAGCAAACAAGCAAACAAAGAAAGCCGGTAGAGTTAATGCATTTCTTTTCTTCTAAAAATTCATAACAATAATATTAATCGAGTTTTATGTAATACAAAAACATTATTACATCCCATGTATATATATAATCATCTTTTTGTAACTTGGCTTCCATCGTCTAAGGCGATTTTTGTGGATTCGTAACACTGTGATAAATTCATTTAGACTAAAAGAAAAAGAAAATAATACATCAACTAATATTTCATTCTCTTACATTGAAAAAAAAAACTAGAGTGCGGATTATGCAGATAAAAATTAACCTTACTGATATGAGAATATGTAACATAATGTATCTTATTCATTGGTATCATTTAGCCTACTTGTGAAGTGAATAAGAGTATTTTCAATCAATAAGTAACAGAAGATTAAAACGTTGTTCTCATTTCTTTCATATCCTCTCATAATATTTGACTTTTTAAGTCAAATGGCAATCACATTGTAAAGATGAATTAAAGTAAGATTTAATATGTTTGTATCTGATCGAAAATTAGTCTTCTCTTCTTTATGTTATGGCACCATATCTGATTTGATACATGTGCCATGTTTATATGAAGGGCAATTCTCCATCTATTTCTATCTGCAAAGAGACAATTGTCGTCATCGATAAGTCAATGCCACAACAGAGAGAAAGAAGATTGTATATGAATATAATCATAAACGTTATTTCTTTCGTCAAGGGAATCTTCTTATATATATGTGGCAATAGATAGATAATAGATCAGCACCATCGACGTCAACAATCAACTAAGAAAGAGAGAGAAATATATATATATACGAGAAGTAATAAAGAACAAAACATCTTTTCTCTTTTCGTTGTTGCTATCTGAAGGTGATAGTA